TATATGCATACACACAGCCAAGAATGCACATTCACACATGAGGAAATGTGGCTCTGATTAAGGAGGTAGCTTCTGGAAAGAAATCTTTCCTTCTATGTTCACTGTGAAATACAGTTTTCTTTTCTTTCTTTTATTTTTTTTTATTTTTTACCTGAGGATATTTTTCTATTTATCATCAGACGGAGTGAGAGGGAGGGAGAGACAGAGAGAAATATCAATGTGATAGAGCCACATCGACTGGTTGCCTCCCGCATGACCTGACCACGGCCAGGGATGAACTGCAACCGAGGTACATGCCCTTGACTGGAATTGAACCCGTGACTCATTGGTCTGCGGGCTGACACTCTAACCACTGAGCCAAACTGGCTAGGGCCGAAATACAGTTATCAACCTGAAAAACATCCACAGTCTTTGATTCTTGCAGAGGCCCTGGGTCTGGGATTGGAGGAGGATTCCACCTGAAACCTCCAGGTGGCTGATGAAGACACTGAGACTGTGAGAAGTGAGAGAAAAGAGCTGCCCAGGTCACCGGATTGATCAGTGGCTAAGCCAGGCTTGGAACTGAAATTCTGGGTCTGTATGAGGGCTCTGCCCCCATCGGCCTGCCCCTATGACTCTGGATCCTTCCTTAGCAAGGGGTCTAGGCCTCCATCGCATCCCTCTGCCTCCTCTCTATGACCCTCTGCTATCTTCAAAGGATGCCAAGGGCAGCTCGGGGACAACAAAAAGTGAATCCAGAGTCCCCAGGATATGGGTCAAAAGGTAGATTTTCTTTTTTTTTTTTTATCCTCACCCAAGGACATTTTTCCATTTTTTTGTTCAGATAGAGTGGAGGGAGAGAGAGAGAGAGAGAAGAGAAAGAGAGAGAGAGAGAGAGAGAGAGAGAAAGAGAGAGAGAGAGAGAGACATCGATGTGAACAGGATACATCGAGCAGTCGCCACCCACACAACCCAACCAGGACCAGGGACAAACTGCAACCGAGATACGAGCCCTTAGCAGGAACCAAACCCGGGTCTCTCTGGACTGCGGGCTGACACTCTAACCGCTGAGCCAAACCGGCCAGGGCTAAAAAAAGGTAGATTTTTCTCAAGGTCCAGCTGCTCATCTGCCCGGAGATACCTGAGTGGGGGTTCATGTTCACAGGTTCCCTACCATCTCATCTGTCTGTCTGGAGACAGGGGGTGACTGTTAGCACAGTAGGAGGAGACGCTTACCTGCCCCCTGTCTGGGGACGCTCATAATAAGGTGATTCATCTCTTTTCTCCACTCCCATTCCAGTCTAGAGCCACCCCTGACTCTCAAGGCCCAGAAGCAGAAATGGTGTCCAGCAGTGGCCTAAGAGTAGAGCACATTCTAGAAAGGGAGCTCAAGCATGGAGAGACTGTGGGTTCCCAGGCCCCGGCTCCCTGCTCTCCTGTGCCACAACCCCCTCTACCACCAGGCCTGTGGCTCCCTGGTCCTTTTGCCCTTTTCATTTCTCCCCGTCCCCATAGGGTTTGAATCCCAGCTCTGTACTCAGTGGCTGAGTGAGACCTTAGCAAGTGACTTCTCTCCAAACTTCAGTTTTATCATTTATGAAAAGGGAAAAAATATACCCACTTCTGGGGATCGTTTTGCAAATAGAAAATGTCTATGTCTGTTTGGGTCTGCTCCTTCCCCACCCTACTCCAGTGCTCTAGAAGAGGTTAGGGGTTTCAGGAAGGCTGAGGGGACTGTAGCATTATTCATTTTCTATGTCTATACTCTTCTTCACCCCACTTGCTGACAGCAAAGCCCATGTTTCTCCTGCTGTTTCAGACTGCTCCCATTCAGGCAAAAAAGAGTTTGGGGGGCAGAAAATGAAGGGTGTGCCACACCCCACCCCTTACAGGGCCCCAGCCAACCCCTCTGGTTCAGCAGGCTGGGACTTGCATCTTCAGCACTTTCCTTGACTGGGAACCCACTCCCCCAACTCTGACAACAAGGAGTCACAGCCTCCCACGGGTGGATGGGCTGTCAAGGCCCCTTCATGAGCTCAGCCCTCGCCCAGGTGAGACACAGACCTTGCTCAAGATGCACTGGGAGGAAACGGAGCCTCCTTCCGGAGCTCCCAGGCCAGCTGGGTTCCAGACTGCACTCAGCTTTGGCTTTCCTTCCCAAAGCACAAGAGGAAGCGCAGAGGGCTCTAGGTAATGTGTGTGACTCAGACTCAGAGCCTCACCAGACGCACTCTCTTCTCTGTGAAGCCATGTTTCCTTCAGCCTTTTAGGCCAGGGGGCGCCATTCACCTTGACTACTATGAGAATGATGTCCCCAGCGTCTGGTACTGCAATGAGGTCTTGCTTCTGCTCCCCCAAACTCAGGCCAACCTGGCATGTCTGGACAGGCATCATTAGACCCTGACCTGTCTTAATCCCAAATGATCTAAGGAGAGCTGACAGGAGTAAGGAATCCTTGCAAGGCATTGCATCCTTCCCCCTCCTCTAGGCAGGATCCTCTCAGGCCCATTAAGAAGCATGAAGCCCTACCCATACCTTCTCATCTCCAACCCTAATGCATTCTAATGTGCATGTGTATGCACGTATAAGAACATGTTTGTAGCCACTAGTTACAGATAGGAATAAGTTTGGTGGAAGAGTATGGGGTCACGGTCCTGAAGGCTGAACCCTGATTTGGGGCCATAGCGCATTGAGAGCCAGCTCTTGTTCCACTTGCCAAATCATGTGCCTTGGCATGGAGCTGTATCTATTAGAGGGGGTGGCAAAGATGCTTTGTGGTGAGTAGCAGCCCCAGGTTGTAGGTAGGCATAGGCATACATGCACACATGTGTGAGTACATGTAGGTACCCGTGTGCTAATACATGCTGCTTAATGTGAACAAGATACACAAGTCCGCAGTTGTGTGTGTGACCTGCTCCCCCCATGAAGCACATGTGAACACCTATGTGAGCTGAGTGCAAACTGTGTGCAGGAGCCTTGAGTGTATATGCCTGCTGATGGCAGACCTGCCCCTGTTTCTCTCCCCTGCTCTGGGTCCCAGGCCAGGCTGACAGGCCCAGGATGGGGTGCTTTGGGCTGGGGTTCTGCATTTTCTTTTAGTGTTGAGAAGCCCCTTGCCTGTTCCCGCCCTATGCTGCCTTTGCCGCCCTCCTGAGGCAGCGAGGGCTGAGAAGTACATCATGAGGCAGGGAAAAGAGGGCAGCATCTTCCCCCTTCCCCATCTGGGCTCTGGCATCAGGAGTCTAGGGTTCTGTACTAAGTCACATACTGGCAGTGGCGCTGTGGGCATGCACTCAGTGATGGCTCCCTGATTCACCATGGTACCTCCCAGCCCGTGGGTGCCCAGATGGTGAGGTGCATCTCTCTGGGCCAAGGGCCATGAGAGACGTTGTATGTGGGTCCCATATATGTGGGACCTTGTGACCAGGCTCTCTTGTAAATGTGACCCAATAAGCATGTGGGCAGAGCTCAGTGTCTATAGGCCGTGTGGCTATCAGCCTTGGGTGTGTGTGTGTGTGTGTGTGTGTGTGTGTGTGTGTGTGAATCTAACTAATATGCATTGCTAAGCCCCATCTCTTTGGGCTTGAGTCACTTTTGGAGCCTTTAAAAAAAATATATATATATATATTTTGTTATTGATTCTAGAGAGAGAGGAAAGGAAGGGATAGAAATATCAATGAGAGAGAACATCAACTGGCTGCCTCCCACATGCCCCCCACTGGGGATTGGGTCCACAACCTGGGCATGTGCCCTGACTGGGAATTGAACCGGTGACCTCTTGTTGCATGGGTTGATGCTCAACCACTGAACCACACAGGCCAGACCACCTTTGGAGCCTTTATTTCTGATAGCCATTCCTCAAGGAACAAGTCTCCAGGGCCCTTAGCCCACTTGGAATAAGTCTGCCTGGCAAATGTGGTTTCTTTGGTCCCCCCTGGTAGTGCTACAAAAGGGACTGAGGTGAGGGCATATTTGCTCCTAGTCCTGTGGGAGTTGGGCCCAGACCACCAAACCTCAAATTCCTGATTATTAAATGCAGCATAGGAGGCAGGGTTGGCCCATGACCCCCCTCAGATGGGGCTGACACCCCAACAGTCTAGCCAGTTAAATCTTTTAAAGGGACAGACTCTCTCTTGGATGAGGATCAGCCAGAGTGGGAGAGGAGAGTGTTAGAAACAGCTGGGACTTACTCTGCTGGCAAGCATGTGGCATGTGGCATGTGGCATGTCAGGACAATTTCAGTTTAGTCTCTGGAGCCATGTTCAAAATGCACTCAGGTACATGTGTGGCAACCTCAGTTAACTCAGCCATATCTGACAGGATGTGTGCAGCCATGAGAAATGCCCAGCAAGTGTGATCAGACACACAAGACAGATGTCATGTGTGGACACAACTGTGGACAGAGCTGGTTAGGACATGCAATGCATGACGCACTCAGCACAAGGAGCAAAGGCCCATGAACTCTGCTGGAACTCAGCTCATGTTCTGTGTGTCCACCTGGGTCTGGTCTGTGAGAGGGTCTCTTCTCCACAGCCTCTTTCCTCCAGCCCCCTGACAAGATGCTGGGTCCAGCCATCCTGAAGATCTGGGGCCAGGTTCCCTCTTTTCGGACATGTCTTTTCTCACCCCCACCATGGTGGGGATGACAGCAGATCTCACAGTCATGGGCCAGTAAGGTCTCCCTGGAAGCTCCATTCTCTCCAGCTATGTCCTGCACATGCCTGTACCCCACCATTCTCTGTCAGTCGAAAACCCATCCTCCCCGAAGCGCTCTCCGGGTCCAACCTGACTCCTATGGCACCTCACACCGCATGTCCCCCCACCTTCTTCTTTGCTCCGGCAGCCCAGCGTCCCCACTAACCTCCCCAGGCAAGGTGTGGGGGTGGCCGCCCACTCCCGAGGCCGGCCCAGGGCTGAGCGGGCGCTGAGCGGACCGAGCGGGCGGGGCAGCGGGGCGGGCGGACCTGTGCCTCCGGTTCCTATAAAGGGCGCCAGCCGGCGCTCACCGGCACCGCCGCTGCGCCGGCCGCCCGCCCTCCGCGCTCTGCCTCCCGCCCGGCTGCCGCTACCTGCCCTACCCCGACATGGGTCGACAGAAGGAGCTGGTGTCCCGCTGCGGGGAGATGCTGCACATCCGCTACCCGCTGCTTCGCCAGGCACTGGCTGAGTGCCTGGGAACCCTTATCCTCGTGGTGAGTGGGGGCGGTGGGGACCGGAGAAGCCCTTCTGTCTCCAGCCCCTAAACTCCCTAGTCCCTCTGTTCATCGGAGGGCTGTGCTTTTCCAGACAGCCCTAACCCCTCTCCCAGCTCGGATCCCCACCTTGACCCTTCCAGAGTGCTTTTCCCCCATAGCTTTTGCCGCATCTGTAAAAGATGTTGCTCCCCAGTGACAGCTTTTATCCGCTAACCTCCTGCCAGTGACCCAACCCACAGGCCTGGGGCAGCCGTGACTCCTGCAGCCTGGGACCTCCAGACACTTCTCAAGACTCCCATGGCCCCCAAGTTCTCAGAGTCCCAGCCTAGGAGACAGTGGGGGCAGAGGCAAATAGGCCCTTATTAGGTTAGTTGGCTTCTATGTTTGACGCCTAATGAATAATTAAGCCTCAGAAAGTCCAAAAGTTCCCATGACATGAGGACAGTTTGCCACGGGGGTGGGGGTGGGGGGGCTAGCGCAGAGGCCCACAGGGTACAAACAGCAGATGGGAGGAAAGGAGGATCCTGAAGATAGAAGGCTGTGGAAGGCTGTGGAAGGCTGTGGGGCTCCAGGCACAGAGGAAGTGGTGTCACTGAAGTTGCTCCCCTCCTGCTGAGTGGCTCCCAGATCCTGTCAGTTACTGGGACAGATGCTGTCAGCTTCTGTACAGATGCACTCTGAGTTACTCTATGGGTTCTCTGAGTGAAACACTTCCTCTGCCTGGGTTACTCCCCAGTCCCAGTTACTCCCTGGTTACACCAGTTTAGTCCCTGGGTTGTTTGCACTTTTTGAGTCTGGCAGACACACCAGTTACAGTCTCCATGTCCCGTCCCAGTTACTCTCTGATTTTCAGCTGCTCATGTGGTTATACCTGTTTCCCACCTTGGTTACTTCTAGGTTTAGTTGCTCCATTGTAGTGGGTGGGTTACTCCATTCCTGCCCTAGCCCCAACCCTAGGCAATGCAGACCTGCCAGCTCCCTGTGGACTCAGAAGCTTAACTAGAGGCAATTTGGGTTAGGGTGGCCCACCCCAAGTGTGTTGTGGTGATGGAGCAGGCACCATGGGAAGAGGAGGGCTTCGAGTCACCTTTGGAAATGGAAAGCGGGGAAGGAAATCATGGGGTACTTTATCCATAGCCCTTCATAACATTAGTGGCCCTACCAGTCATCCCCATACCTTCTCTTCCATGTGCCAAGAAGGGAGTGGGGCAGAGCCTTGAGTCCCCCACTCTCTATCTGATTTATGATCCAGCCCCCTGTTTGAGAGCAGCCAGGAGAAGGGAAGTTGTCTTCCACATTCATAGAGGGGCCTCCCTGTCCTCTCCCAAGTCGTAGTTCACCTCCCCCACAAAGGAGTATTCAGGCTTAGCGCTGAGCCCCAGTAAGGAGGTTTTCAGGCTCAGGTGAGTATGAGGCATTGGGTGTCAGTGAAAAGCAGAACCTCAAGGGCAGCCTGAAGAGAAAGAGTCAGGCTTGGGAGATCACTGAGTGGTGGGTGAGGGCTTGCCTGCATACCTCTGTGGGTTGGGGACCTAGAGCCTGGTGGGTGAGGGCTTGCCTGCATACCTCTGTGGGTTGGGGACCTAGAGCCTGGTGGGTGAGGGCTTGCCTGCATACCTCTGTGGGTTGGGGACCTAGAGCCTGCATTAGCAGAACTGGGGCTGGCTTTAGGGCAAGGGAAGCCCCTGTCTCTGGGGTACCTAGTGAGGAAGGAGCATGGGGGAGACGGAGGGGTAAGGAATAGGAAGATTAGTCCCAAGGTGGTAGAACTGGATCTGACGGCTTCTCACTTCAAGGCCTCCTGGAATGGAGCCAGGTTTGGGCCTCAGGCAGGCAAGGAGCTGAGACCAGGGCTTGTGAAGCACAGCAGTGTTCCCCAGACTCACATGTGCCTGGTCCCCCCCCCCCCCCGCAACCCCCATATACTCACAATCTCTGATCTTTGCTCTCACCTGCTTGTATACCTTTGCTCTGCATTACTGCCGCTGGCTTCCCCACTGTCTTCTAGACTTTCAGAGGGATGGTAATGAGAATGCCTAACAACAGTAAAACAGGACCCTGACTCATCAGAACAGACAAAAACCCTTAGCACAGGTCTTGGAAATTGCCTGCTGGGTAGATATAAAACCTTTATTTTGGGGAAGGTGGAAAAGGAGACCTGGGCAGGAGCTGGAGCAGCTTTGGGGGATACTCTAGGGGCTCTTTACAACTGGTACAGAAGCATTTTTACATTTAAACAAGGGAAATAGACATACAGTACATTCTGTCCTTGTAGGACATTAGGGACTTTAGGCCTCTTGAATCCCCCATCCCTGGCAGAAAGCTTAGAATTAATCTCCCCACTTCCACTGCCCTGGGGCCCAAACTGGGGCTAGTGAGAGGAGCCACTTATCACTGTCTTTAGGACCTTCCAATCTGAGTGGGGACCCTGGACTACTGAGGGCAGAGAGGTCAGGGCTGGTGGACAGAGGAGGCTCTGAGACAGGGACAGGTCAAGGAGGGAGAGGGTATTGAGAAGGGTTCTGAGGAGAGCCAGCAGCATAGGCAGGGGCTCTGACATCCAAGATTCAGAAGTGGATTCAACCTAACTTCTGGCCTCCGCCCTATTTCTTTGTGTCCCCCCAACCCCCATCACCACCACCACCACCACCACCACCACCACCACCACCTAGCTCTTCTTTGGGGCAAAAATGGAGGCAACTACAGGTGGGGGATGAGTGAGAGCCTTCTTACCTCTATGGGCCAGACCTGAAGGGCTGGGAAGAAACTGCCAAGGTGAAAGCCGTTCCTCTCCACCCTATTCCTGTTGAGATTCAAGAAAAGTCAGTGAAGATGGTTCAGCCATCTTTAGGGCTCCCGGTTGCAGACTGCTTCCATGGGGACCTCCTATGTTAGCATTGGGACATTGGAAGTGGAAGGGCATGTCTGCTGCTTCTCAGAGTGCAATTGCGCAGGAGGGGTTCGGGTTGAATTCCGGACGGGCCTTCCTTCCTCCTGATGGGGGCAGGCAGAGAGGTTGCTGGCTTTACCCTTCCCTCTGGAGTGAGAGTTGCTGGGATTCAGCAGGGCCTCACCCTCCCTGCCTTTTTCTGTTTCTTGACACAGATGTTTGGCTGTGGCTCCGTGGCCCAGGTTGTGCTCAGCCGGGGCACCCATGGGGGTTTTCTTACCATCAACCTAGCCTTTGGCTTTGCCGTCACCCTGGGCATCCTCATCTCTGGCCAGGTCTCAGGTAAGGCCTTACTCCACCCTCAGTCATTACCCTCGTAGCATTCTTACAAGGGATCCCACTGGGGAATGAGGTGGGGGGATATTCCCAAGGGCAGAACATAGCTGTGGCCTGAGCTCTGAGCCCTTGGAAGAGGAGGCGAATGGAGAAGAAACTTGATACTTAGAACCTTTGACTCTCACCTTGGAATCAGAGATTAACAGAGTTCGCCTGTTACATAGTCCAACCCACCATCTGGTACAAGAAACCCTTCTCCGCACCCCTGCTCCCCCAGGCCAGAGATGGTGAATATGAACGTGGTCACATGGCAGGCTATGCTAATAGGTCCCATCTCCCATTTTAGGGGCCCACCTGAACCCTGCTGTGACCTTTGCCATGTGCTTCCTGGCGAGAGAGCCCTGGATCAAGCTGCCCATCTATTCCCTGGCTCAGACACTGGGAGCCTTCCTGGGTGCTGGGATCGTTTTTGGGCTGTACTATGGTAAGCATTACCCTCTTCCACTACCCCCTCCTTCTACTTGAGACCTGCTGGCATCAGGCCTTTCCATGACAGATAGCTGGGGCCTGCCCAGGCCCCTGGCTCATGACTCATTCATTCACGCACAGGCCCAAGGTGCGGGGCACAGGGTAAATAAACAAGTTGGGCAACAATAGCGTCTCAGGTCTTCACTCCACCCACCCCACCGCCTCCGGCTCCTGAGTAAATAGCAGTGATTCTACTTACCCATGACCCCTGGGAGGGTGGGCCCAGCCTGAGAGGAGAAACTGGGCTTGGGCCTCTGCCCTCACCCACTTGGGGTTTAATCTGTCACCAGATGCAATCTGGGCCTTCGCCGACAATGAGCTTGTAGTCTCAGGCCCCAATGGCACAGCTGGCATCTTTGCCACCTACCCTTCTGGACACTTGGACATGGTCAATGGCTTCTTCGACCAGGTATGGGCTGGGGACATGAGGGGGACACAAGGAGAGGAACTAAGTTGCCCTGGGTTGCTGATGGGCTGGCCGGGGAATAGGACTCCTTGTTTAAAGCAGAGTTTCTCAATATGTGTGGACGCCTTTATCAGAATCAGAATGGCAGCTATTTATATTTAACCAGCTCCCCAGGGGACCCTCATCCCTGAAAAGATTCTAGCACCACTGTTCTAGGAGAGCAGAATTCGGGATGTGACTAGACGAAGAGCTAGAAGGAAGCCAGAGGCCTAAAGAAGGGACCAGGGTGTGGGGGAGGGGGGCTACTCTTCACCTTGTTCTCCCTGCTGGTCAGTTCATCGGCACAGCCTCCCTCATCGTGTGTGTGCTGGCCATTGTGGACCCCTACAACAACCCTGTCCCTCGTGGCCTGGAGGCCTTCACCGTCGGCCTGGTGGTTCTGGTCATTGGCACCTCCATGGGCTTCAACTCCGGCTATGCTGTCAACCCTGCCCGGGACTTTGGCCCCCGTCTCTTCACCGCCATCGCTGGCTGGGGCTCAGGAGTGTTCACGTGAGTGCTACCCCCACCCACCCAGCCTCAGCTTGCTGTCCCTCTGTTTGTCCCACCCACCCCTAACTACATATTCCATTCCCCAGGACCGGCCGCCAATGGTGGTGGGTGCCCATCATCTCCCCGCTCCTGGGCTCCATTGCGGGAGTCTTCGTGTACCAGGTCATGATCGGCTGCCACCTGGATCAGCCTCCACCCTCCACTGAGCAGGAGAATGTGAAACTGGCCCACATGAAGCACAAGGAGCAGGTCTGAGTGGGCAGGGCCATCACCCCCTGCCCCTCTCCCTGGAGCATCCACTGACTGTACAGGGGCTACTCCCTATAAGCCCCCTTCCCCTTCCCCCTCCCAGGCTAAGAAGCTCCTTGTCTGCCCCACCCTACTGGACTACCCCCTCCAGGATTTTTCCACGGGACCCTGCCCAAATAAGACTTTAGGCCACTGTCCTTAAACAGTGATGGGACAGAAAGTAGGGCCAACATAACCCTTTGTTTCCCAAAGGGAGGGAATGGGCAGTGGGTATGTGTGTGCATGTGCAGGTGTGTGTGTGTGTGTGTGTGTGTGTGTTCCCAGATATTCAGGGCAAGGGGCCAAGTGGAAAGGATTTAGCTGTGGGGGGAGCCTGAAGGAAGGGGGATGGTGATGTGTCCATCTGTGGGTGAGGAAAGCGCCAGGGGCCTGCATGTTTCAGGGGCTCCAGGTGGAGAAGGGTCCAGATACATGTGTTTCTGAATACGCATGTGTCTGCCCTGTTTTCCAAACAGGCGCTCAGGGGAAGCTTTGGGGGAGGTATGATGGGAATATGGGTAGGGCTGGGAGAAGGGGGCCACAGCCCAGGTGTGGACCTTTGACTGTATATAAGGAGGAGCTGAATAACGTGTTTCTGTCATAATGTAGGCATGAGAGGTGGGGTGAAGTTTAGGTCATAAGTTTCATATTTGCTTTTTTTTTTTTTTTTTTTTAATATAGCAGATGTTACAGTTTTAGGGGTGGGAGGTGGAGACTACTCTCAATAGGGTCTTCACTCTTTTAATCCTCCACTCAACACATGTACTCTTGCCTTTTGTAAAAAACAAAAAACAAAACAACAATAAAATATATGCCTAAAACTGCCTATTGTGTCAATATTTCTCTGCTTATTCTTCTGTTTTCCTGGGGCCAGTTAAGGAGCTTCAGTGTATCTGGCCACGTACCCAGGGTGCAGGAGGCAGCCACACAGGTCAGAGAGCTTCTGCATCTCAGCTTGAGCTTAGCCGCCCCACATTTTCCCCAAGCTTCCATATTCCTGGGAGCCCTGACACAGTGAATGGCATCTCCTTCCTGATCCCTGCACTCCCCCGTCACCCAGAAAGACAGGCCTGAGCCTGGCTTAGGCAAGAACTTTCTCCTAGGCAGAGTCCTACCCTAAGGGAAGGACTGCTACCCAAGAAATAGTGAGCTCCCTGTTGCTGGAGGAGTCCAATCAGAATGGAAACCTGCATTGTCTTCTACAGCCTGCAGCTGTTTAGGCTCCATCAAAATCCACCCATAGCTAAAGAAATCCACCCAATCATAGCTTCTTAGTAGCTTCCCCGCCTCCAGGCCTGCCCCAGTCAGTCTATACAGCAACCAGAGGGATTGTTCTGAAACTCTTGCTGAAAGTGGGCCTTTTTCCTCAGCTTTTTCCCACTGTCCAGAGACAATCTGAACACCCCAGTTCTGCATTCAGGCCCTCAAGGACCTGGCCCCTGGCCCTACTCATACCCTCATAATGCTCTATCCACCCAGACTACTCAGTGTGCTCCTGTGCTCTAAAGTGTGCACTCACTAGAATCCTCAGCTGCTCTAATGCCTCCTCGGAAAGCCATTCCTGCTCTTCCCCACTCATCATCTTCTATAGTTGTCGGAGCCCAGAGACCACAGCTGCATTCATCCCTGTCTCCCGCTCTGTTTCAGTTCTTCAGTCTGAGGTACATCTGAGTCCTGTAAGGCTGGGGTTGGACGGACTGACTGTGGCACCCTGACTGCACAGGAAGGCAAGGGGCTTGGCACACCTGAGCCCAGGAATCTCTGTCAGGTGATCACGTGACCCTTCTCACCTTCTCCATCCTTACCCAATCCTTCTCAAGTTTCATTACGAATAAAAGGGAAGGTGGCCCCAATCCAAGCTCTCCTACAGAGTTAACCCCGTGGGAGCCAGAGGATCCTTGAGTCTGGCAGGAGAACTGTGGGTTTTAGAGGCTAAACCAGCTCTTGCTCCCCAGCCAATTCGCACATGAGGAGACCATAGCCCAGAGAGGGTGGGTGCCAAGTGCAGGGTCACACAGCTAAAACTCTGGGGATGGGAGTGAAAGAAGGCAGTTCCACCTCAGGTCTCCACCCCCTCTTTGTCCTCAGCTCCCAAGAGGAGTACATGGAATGTTAGAGGAAAGCATGCCAGAGGGAGTGTCCCCTTCCCAGGCCCTGGGGGAGGAAGGGCAAACCTTGGGAGGGGACTGTGGCTTCAGAGTTTCATTCCATCCACATTGATCTCCCCTTTAGTGTCCCACCCTGCTGTCTTCCCCAGCATGCCCTATGTCTTTTTGTCATCCTTTCCTCTCAAATCCTGCTGTTGACCTTGCAGTCAGCCCAGGGGTGGGGGAGGCCTTGTGGTTCATTGCTTAAGGAAAGCAGTCAAACCTGGATTCCAAGCCCAGCTTGCCCTCTCTCTAGCTGTGTGACCATTTTCTTTCCCTGAGCCTCAGTTTCCTCATCTGTGAATTGGGAGATATTGAGAGGAGGAAGTAATGTAAGAGAACTCATGAAAAGGACTTAGCACAATAACCAGCAGATGGTAAATAGTCAATAAATGTCACCTCACCTCATGACTTTTCCTGTAGAGCTGGGGAAGGGGGGTAGTGGTGAAGGAGAGATGCTGAAAGCTGTTTTTTAAAGGTCATTGAATTCAACATCCTCTTCCGCGTCAGATTCCTTTCATGGATTCTGAATTTCCTGAGGGGGGGAAGAAGAGGGGAGGTGATGGCTAGCTGTGCTCTGACTAGAGGAGACTTTTGGGTAAGACTGAAGGGATACATAAGAGGGAGCCACACACACAGGTATGGAGGCCAAGGGCACATGTTGGACAGAGGGTCAATTGGTATGAGAAAGGGTAAGGCCTGGCCAGGGCAGGGGCTGGTAGGGACCTGAGACAAGTGGCAACGTATTCCAGGGGCAGGAGAAAAACTTTCCACCTCCTCGTGCACTTCCAGGCTATGCCTCTGATTAGCCATTCTGGCTGATAGCAAGTTCTAGAAAGAAATCTCTTCATCTACTTTAGGGAAAGTATCTTGATCCATTCTGCAAGGCGGCCTTGGAAGGAGAATCACCCTGTGGGAAGGTAGACAGATCCCATGCCTCATCTCTGTTTCTTTTTCCTGAGCTGAGTCCTTACCACAGCCCACTTTGAAGGAGCACGTTTCCTTAAAGTTCTGACTTGTTTGAATTGAAATTAGTCCCCCTGAAACTTGAGCTTGGTTCCTGTTTCCTTGTGCGCCTGCCTCTGTGTGTGCACAACATACAAGTGTGTGCTTCCCAGGGTTTCTGAATGTCTGTCTTTCTCTCAATATGTCTAGTTATGTCTCTGTGGGTCTGTACCTTTGGCCTACCATGTCTCTCTCTTTGTCTCTGTCTTGGTCACTGCCTGACTCTTTGTGTCTGTGTCTTTCTTTGTGCATCTACAAGTGCATGTCTTGTGTACCTTGGAGCCCATCTCTGTGCGTGCTTAGGGGTGACTCTCTTGGCAGCCCTGTCCCGCTCATCTTACTTGAGGCCATGCCTCCTTCTTAATTTCTGGTAATGAGCTCCCTCCTCCTTGCTAACTCTTTCTCCTTGATTTTGTTTGTGTGAAAACCTGGGTGGGGCACCCCCAGGCTTGGTGAAGCATGGGTGGAGTAGAATTGGGTGGGGTGGGAAGGTGAGAGAAGAGAATACTCCATCAGAACAGAGATCTCAGCAGTCGGAGATGCCCTTGATCCCCTGATGAAGGGTCTGTGAGGATGCTGGCCTAAGTAGGGCCCTGCACCTCCTCACTGGGAGGAGAGAGCCTGTTCTGGAATGGGGTTCTAAATTGTGGGCCAGGGAATGCTGGCAGTGCAAAAGAAGGAGATTGAGGTGCTGGGGCCCTTAGGGAGACTGAAGGAGTTTACCTGGAACACCTTTGAGTCTGAAGGGGGGCAGAGGAATGGGTGTGTCTGCTCAGCATCTGGGATAGCTTTCTCAAGGACTCTGAGTCTCCACACTGGGGCCTCGGCTTTTGGTGCCAGGTTCATTTGAGGTAAGGGTGGGAACACAGGCTCTGTCTAGTCTGGGCACCTTGGCTGTTCCAGAGTGGCACCCACCGCCTCTTTGTGTAAAGGGGAAACTGAGGCCCAGAATGCCATTCAGGGTCACAGAGTAGTACAGCACAGCTTGGACTAGAATCCAGTCTTCTGTCCCTAACCTAACTCCCCTCAACCTCTTTTCCAGACAGCACTTTGCAACATCTCAGGAAGCAAGTCTTTGAGTCCAGATCACCTTTGTTCCAAACCAGCCCTTCCCAGCCACAGGACCCTAGGCATGTGGAGTCTCCATTTCCCCCAGATCCAATCTCCAGGCTGCTTGGTGTCCCAGGAGGCTACTATCTATGGGCTGCATCACCTGGGTCTCTGGCTTCTAGCTGTTTCGGCAGGTGGGAGGTACAGCTAGAGAAGCAGAGAGCAGGGAGGTTGGGAGTGATTAGGGAATGGGGAGGTCAGGATATTAATGCCTTTTCCAGGGCTTCCACTGTGTTCCAGCAACACTGCTCTCTCCTCTTGACTCCCCTGGCTGAGGGGGATGTGGCTACCTGCTGTCAGGCCATCCCTTGTTGGTCACTGTGACCCTTCCCTCACCTCTGTAAACAGTCCCTCCATAAACTCTTTTCAGCGAAGCCCTTCCAAGATGTGTTGTTCCTGCTGGATCTGACAGAGTTCACCTCTCTGCTCTTTAGTTTCTTCATTTGTGAAATGGGGAGAGTACTAGTACTCACCTCATCAGGTTGCAAAAGGTGAAGATTAAATGAGATTATTATTATTATTTTTTTATCCTCACCTGAGGACATTTTTGCATGTATTTTCAGATAGAACGGGAGGGAGAGAGAGAGAGAGAAACATCGATGTGAGAGAGATACATTGATTGGTTGCACCCACACGATCCCAATCAGGGCTGGGGACAAACTGCAAGATATGTGCCCTTAGAGGGAACCGAATCTGGGACTCTCTGGTCCGTGGGCAGATGCTCTAACCGCTGAGCCAAACTGGCCAGGGCGATAATATTATTATTTTTTAAAATTATTATTAGTTTTTCTTTGTTGATTTTAGAGAGAGAGGAAGGGAGAGAGAGATAGAAACATCGATGAGAGAGAACATCAATCAGCCACTTCCTGCATGTTCCCCACTGGGGATTTGGCCCCCAACTGGCATGTTCCCTGACCGGACACTGACCCGATGACCTCTTGGTGCATGGGTTCACGCTCAACCACTGAGCACAGTCCCAACCTGTTTGCTAATGTCTCACAGTCTTATCAAGAAGAGCTTCCGCAGGTCTCACTGCCATTCCACTTCAGCTCAAGAATGGGGCAGAAATAGCCCTGGCCAGTTTGGCTCAGCGGTTAGAGCGTTGGCCTGCGGTCCAGAGAGACTTGGGTTCGGTTCCCGCTAAGGGCATGTACCTCAGTTGCAGTTTGTCCCCGGCCCTGGTTGGGTCGTGAGGGTGGCAACCACTCGATGTGGGTGTCCCTTTTACGTTGATATTTCTCTCTCTCTCTTCCTCTCTCTCCCTCCCACTCTTATCTGAACAAAAAATAAAAAAATGTCCTTGGGTGAGGATAAAAAAAAAAAGAATGAGGCAAAAATCAATTATTATAACGCTCGAGTCCTTTTCCTGCTCTCACCAACACACTGGGGGTTCCAACAGCTTTGGGAGTAAGAAGAGG